TACTGTTCATACAATGAATTTTTATCTTTGTATTGTAAATTATTTGATAGAACACATGATGGGAAATGTGGCTTCACTTCATTTTGTTAATTAAAGCTACCTCCTAAACAATAGTGGCTGCCAGTAGCAGAATGTTTAAAATGTGGTTTATATACTTTTTGCATTGTAAATAGACATGGTTGTATATTGTCACTGTAATAAAAACAGAATCCTTGTATATCAAAATCATGTAGTTTGTACAAAATATGGGAGGATTATTTACTGTATGCTGTTAATTTTGTAAGCCAAAATATTCACATGTAAAAACAGGAGAAAACCAATCCAGAACTGTTAGTTCTTATATTTATACTCATGAATATTACATCTGCAATTAGCATGGAATGTTACACTGAAAGCAAATAAAGGGTACATGAACATTGATGGTTATTTATCTGTTTTTCCAAAGCTGAAAATGGTGCACAGGCACAAAACTGCAGACAGCAACCAGCAGAACTAACGTGTTTTGGGTTTGGGGCAGGAAAAGGCAGCAAAATAAGAAAGTTGCCAGTTTACTGTGGATTCAGTGGATTCACCGTTTCTGATTAATGCAGCCTCTTGGTCTGCAGAAGGTTAAAACTTTGAGAGAAGTCCTTACATTTTTGCAAAGCAGTCTCTTTATAATAGACATTATGTATCGCGTTCAAGCTTTTAATATGGCTTGGAAGATGGTACAGATGCTGACTGTTTCTGTGGCATTTCCATTGTTTGAAACCATGATTTTGGAAGAGGTGGTTTATTACATGGTCCCTCCGTTGGTCGGCTACTCGCAGGTGACAATAATATTTTGGAAAATGAAAACAAATTTCAGATGCCATTTTATAACAGTAGGAAGGAAATCTAGCTATCGAGCTCCAAAAAGCCAGCTGAATTTTCCACAGTGCTCTTGAGTAAAGATGTGTGTTGTCTTCTGTTTTACAAAATGAGCCTTCACTGAGATGCTTTTGAAATGGTCCAATGTTCTTCATTTGGAGTTGCAGTATTTCATGATGCAGCACTAATGTTGGTTGAGTTGTGCTGGCGGTTATCTTTTAATGCAGTCAGTCCAGTGTCTTGCAACATGCTCAGGTTTTAACAGCTGGTAGAGGAGAAGGAATGCAGGCCGTAGCTACTCAAATTAATTCATTGAGAAGCAGTGCCGCAGAACTTGCCTGTCTCGGTCGCCAAATGCCCAGCACCTGTGGACAATCAGTTGGGGAGGATGCAGAGAAATCCAGCCACCAGGTACTTAATCCCTCCTTTGTCACACATCCTTGTTGGAATTCACAGAAACCCTAAGCATCTGTTGTACTGGACTCCAGCACCAGGTGTAGCAGGGCAAAAAGAATTTGCTGTTGACTTTAAACAAATGAAAGCTTTTCAGTAAAGAAAGGATTCGCTTTTTCTTCCTTTTCCTGATGTCCTGAGCAAGAAGCTTTCTGCAGTGGTGCAGAGGGAAAAGCCAAAGATGCCAGAAGTTGTTGCTGAGATATTCCACGCCTTCTCCCTGTTAAGTAGTTTATGGACAGCTGTCAACTTGCTCTAAGAAAGTATTCAGGTGAGATCCCTTTATCTGAAATTACATAAATAGTTTATTCACTTGACAACTGCTGGGTTTAATTCCCTTCTGACTTCTTCCATCAAGGTAGAAATTCCTGAGTTTAATCACAAAATTACTCAGAAATCTCAGAGTTGTACCAGGATACTTTAAACTTTGATTGTAATTTTTAAGCCTTTGGTTTTAATTTACAGGGTAATGTTTTTAATTAAAAGCACAATGTACAGTTTATTTCATACGTACTCTCAATTTAATAACTTCTAATTACATAGATGCTTTTGATCTCTTATTGCTAGTATAATAAGTTTATTTTTAGCTGGAGGTTTTTAATATTGCCTTTCATATACTCTGCAGTAGAATCTGAGCTATTTACTCTCAAGCTAGTAATTGAATATGATTCAGAAAGTAAGGGAACAAATGAAAGGTGTAATGGGATAATACATGATAAATGACTGCGTTTTATCTACTGCTTGTTGCGCAGGGAGGATGAACGGGCACGTTCCATATTGTTGCAGTAGTGGCACTGCAGTAGGAAAAAAAAATCATTATTTAGGTTTTATTTGAGAGTACTAGTTAATGGTGAATGTGGCTGTATGTACTATGAGGAAATTGTTCAGATTTGAGGGTAACAACTTACGAGTTTTACCATTGGTTTCCAGTAACAAAAGGATGCATAGCTCACTAGTGCCTTCTGCAAATGTCAGTCCCAGAGTAAGCGAATAAATCTGCTAAAAACTGAAGTTTTAAATGAGGGCTGAGGTAAAGATTTTGCATAAGTAGCTCAATAAATGAAGGCTGTTCAACAGTAGTAGTGCTATGATCTCCAACCAGTACAAAAACAGATGCATTTTGATTACGTAGAAGCTGAAATCCAGCCAACTGAGTGGAGCAGGAATCATGCTATTGCATTGTAAAGCTGGGTTTCCACTGTAGATTTGTTTCATAGGATTCTTGCACATGCCCTTGAAGAGAGAAGCTCATTCTCAAGGCTGCGGTCCTTGAAAAAGAGATGGCTCTGTATTTGCAATGAACAGAAAGCCTGAACTGGGACCAGTAGTGGGAAAGGCATTCTGCAAGGGTGAGAATGGGCTGGAAAATGAAGGAAAACTGAAGCAATCCGAGACCACTTTAATTAAGCAGAACTACAGATACAGGCATAAAAATACTGGTGCACAGGCAGAGAGCGCTTGGTCAGCTCTGACTGTGAGTGTGGAGCTAAGTAGCTTTGTGCGGCACCACTTTTCTCCACGTCACAAAGTGCAAAGGCTCAGACTTCTTAACCTGAACTACATTTATTCCGATTATTTTGTGTCTTTTCAGTTGGCAAGTAAAATGTAGACATACATTCTTCGTGGGCGTCTGGTTGGTTGGTGTCAGCTAACTAAAGGTATGTAGCCTATGCCTTAGTTTGTGCCTTCATTTAGTTCACTTATTTTTCAGCTGGATTGTTTTCTTTCTGTGTTCCTGAACGCATGTGTGGAACTAGACGTGACTTCTGAGAGCAATCTCGTTTGATTCTTCTTGTTAAATCTGATTAGTGTTAATTAAATTCAACCGAGAGGTTCCTTACGTTCTCTGAGGCTGAGCTGATCAGATTACAGTTAAATTTCAAAAAATATTTCAGAGGAGTTGTTGGCAAATTTCACATTTCATAGAGTTGTCAAATCGCGGTAGCTAATAATTCATAGTAGCTTATTTAGGTCTAGAATTGACTTCATTTCTGTTTACAGAAATTTACAGGTGTTTCGTCACCTGTAAAATTAGTTTCTCTGCAGCATTTTCTATGGAAAATGGTGTTTCAAGTAGTGTGGATGACAGTTAGGAATTACATAAGCACATTGTTAGGATCATTTGGAAGTTCAGGCGTGTTCACCTGTGCGACCTGCTGTAGGGAACCTGCTTTGGCAGGGGGGTTGGACATGATGATCTCTGGAGGTCCCTTCCAACCCCTACAATTCTGTGATTCTGTGATTCTGTGTCATTGAACAGACCCAACTTGTAGGTCTATGAGTATGGGTTTACTCTGAATTTAACTCCCTCTTGCTATATAGCTTAAAGCATGCAGTCTGTGATGGTGTAAATTTGGTTAGCTCTGAAAGACTGAGCTTAGGTTTTTGTCACTTCTGAGGTGAGCACTTTTGGCAGGTTTTTCACAACAGTAACAGCTGTAGGGGCATGTGGGTGTGTGCACACGTGTGTGTATACATGTGGATGCTTACATATGTATTCATTCTCTACATCGTTTGTGGCAACTTTTGTTCTTCGTCATGTCAGCTTGGGTTTAGGCTTTAGTAATAACCATATTTAATTATTGCCATGGCAGATGGATTTTATCATAGAATCATAGAATGGCCTGGGTTGAAAGGGACCTCAGAGATCATCTAGTTTCAAACCCCTTGCTATGTGCAGGTTGCCAACCAGCAGACCGGGCTGCCCAGAGCCACATCCAGCCTGGCCTTGAATGCCTGCAGGGATGGGGCATCCACAGCCTCCTTGGGCAACCTGTTCCACTGCCTCACCGCCCTCTGTGTCAAAAACTTCCTCCTAATATCCAACCTAAACCTCCCCTGTCTCACTTTAAAACCATTCCCCCTTGTCCTGTCATTACCAACCCATGTAAACAGCCATTCCCCCTCCTGTTTATATGCTCCCTTCAAGTACTGGAAGGCCACAACGAGGTCTCCCCGGAGCCTTCTCCAAGCTGAATTTCTGGTGTTTCAGTAACTTTAATTGCCCAGAAAATGAATTGGCTTTCGTAAGATATACTGAAATTATCTTGGTCTGCAGCTTGTTGACATACTTGACGTTTTCATGCCTGTCACAATGTGAAGCTTTGCTCATGCTGTTTGCTTAGCAGGGCATCAAACAGCTTTAGTTTAGTATGTACAGGGACACGTGCTGTATGGATATAGATACAGGTCGTTTGTATGTTGCAAAGCTTGACAGGTTGCATACTGTACTTGGTGTTGTATGATCTGAAAAGCAAGCCAACAAAATGCTTGTAACTTTACTCAGCCTGATGCTTGGTTTCTAGTGATACTTTTGTCTCCAGTGCTTGAATAGTTTTGTTACTCTGACTGGTGTCACCAGTTGTCTATTAGAGACTGTAGCTAAAGAGACTTGAACCTATTGGGTGGTGATCAGCTCTATGATCTACTTATAAGTGCTTAAAGTTCCTTCAACACCAAGAATATGGATTTGCTGCTTAGTGATGCAGTCAGTGTTACAGGGCTGCTTAGATCACAGTCTGCCGGGGTTATTTTTGCGTTTTTCTACCCGCTCGAGTGGAGGGGATTGTCCCCTCAGCTCTGCCTTGTGGGGCCCCATCTGAGCGCTGTCTCCACAACGCGCATGCGCGGGGCGGTGCCGCTTGCCGGTCTCCATGGCGGCGGCGCAGTGGCCGCCGGGAGCTGCGCTGTGGTGAAGCCTTGCGGTGCTGCGCGGGAGCGTGTAAGAGCTTCCCTCCGAGCCGTCGGCCGCCATGAGGAGGGCCGCGCCGCCGCCGTCCTTCAGCAGCTCGGAGGGCGAAGAGCCGCTCAGCCCTTCCAGCTGCTCCTTCCCCTCTTCCCGGCGCGGCTTCCGCGAGGAGGAGGAGGGGGACGAGGAGGAGGAGGAGGAGGAGGAGGAGGAGGAGGAGGAGAGGCCCGGTTCGCTCTCGAATACGGCCTCCCGTTGGGGAGTGAGCAGGTCGGTGGGGCGGGGGAAGGAGAGCTCGTCTCTGAGATGAGCAGTGAGGGAAGGCGGGACACTGAGCTTCGCCTTGTTTCTTGAAAGAAGAGCTATACATCCAAGAGAAATCTGGAGAACAGTGAGAAACCTCGGGTTGAAGCAGCCTGTCAGCCTGCTTGCAGTCTTTCCTCTTCTTTTACACCTTTTAAGCTGAAGGAGGGAAAATTTAGATTGGACGCCAGGATAGTTCTTTACAGAGAGAGCGGAACAGGCCTGGTCCAGTTCTGGATCTCACAGCTGGCAGCTCTGCCTGTGGCAGGGGGTTGGAGCTTGGTGATCCTTGGTGATCCTTCTAACCCAAGTCATTCTATGGCTCTCTGATCCTAATGGGTGCCCACCAGATGTTCATCTAGTAGCTACCCCGTGTAACTGCCAAGATTGCAGGTACAATAATAACAGCCATTTCTTACACAGCCACTCCTCCACTGTATCTCAAAGAGTTGGTGTGTGGTGGTGGTCTCTTGAAATTACGTAAATGTCTGCCTCCGGCTAACTTGTAACATGGGAAAATTAGCATTTGTAGAAGAGAAGAGCTGAAATTGAGGCCTTGTGTAATGGTCATAATTTCAGTATAGATCAGTATTATGTCAGGTGGTGTGACTTCAGTGACTTGTATGTGGATTCTGCTCATCAAACTTCAGTACTGCACCAAACTCATCTGAACCAATTTAAGATACTTGTATTTAAATACAAATGTATGCTTGAGAGTGCACTACTTTATCAAGTCTGTTATTTTAATTACTCTGATGAAGGCTATGAATATGCTGGGGTCCTAGCAGGGGATGCTACGAAATTCAGGTTTTGTGTGGATCATAACACATCACAGCAGGTGGACAGCTCTGTGCAAGGAGTTCTAGGCCTGCAACGCTCTTCTCTGCAGGTTGTCTATGTGTGTTCTGTGTGCAAGACTTTATATATGTTTTATTTTTAAACGTACGCATAGAAGATTAATTTCAGGAGCATTATGTAATATGCTTGTTTGGGTGCCTCTTTCATAGCTTAAGTTAAGCAAGCAGAGTTGCTCCCTGTAGTGAAGTGTGTAGGCAGGTGTTTCTGGAGTGCATGTGTTCATATAAAATATTAACATGAAGTCTGATCTCATTGTTTTGTTGTTAAGAAAAAATTCTTGTAAGAGAGAGAAGAGCTTAAAGAAATCTTCTGGCATGTTTTCAATTAAAGCCTACTGTACTCTCTTGCTTAGGAGGGAGTACAGGTACAGAATATTGTAAAATATATTTCTGGCCTGGAGGTAGGATCGCTGCATTACTCATGAGTAAAGTTATGAGTGAGTTATGCAAAGTGTTCTGCTAAATGTCTTACCTTGTATAATATCACTAAGTGTGCACAAGCCGTATTTTTTAAGGTTTATTTCCTTTGAGCCTCCCAGTGACAGAAATGCTTCCATGTTTCTGATGTTGGATTTGATTAGTTCATAGAAGGTAACGTTTGAACCTCTTCCACAGTATGGAACAGAAAGAAAAGTTACAAGCTAGAACTTGGTAACTAGAATGCAAGGGGGATGGTGAGGAACACAAGAAGAATGCTGTTTACCATCCTGGAGGTTACTACACAACTGGAAGAATAATGTAATTTTTGCTACAATAGAGAGAAATGTGGATTTTTTGAGACAACAAAACTGGATGGGCTTTCAGTCAGAGTTCTGACAGATAACATTCCTGTACGTTTCTCATTTTTCACTCAGGAAGGATGATGACTCTGAAATAACAGAAGCAAATGAGCGCTCGCCTTTGAAAGATCGTCTTTCACCATGGGAAGAATGGTTCATTGGAAAAGAGAAGGAACTACGTGCCCACTTACAAGCTAGAGCTGCAGAGGTGAATGTATCTTAGCTTGACATAAAATCTAGTAGCAAATAGCAAGCATCAAATGCCAGGATTTTATTTTCTGTTGGTTTTAGAAAAGCTAGCCATGACAGGGTGTGTGCTGGGTGTAAGCACTGCATGCTGCTTGGTTGTACATGAGACACAGTGTTGTTACCCACTCAGTGGGTAATTGCACAACTGCTTGGTGTCGTTTCCCAGGCTGTGCTGCTCTACCCCAGGATTTCTTTCCCTCCTTCCATCTTTTGTCCCGCTTGCAAACCAGCAGTTCTTGAATGCTGAGACTGGGGCAGAAGTAAGTGAGAGCGCCCTATCTTCTTGTGATTAATATATTTGTTGTTGCAGTTGATTGAATGATACTATTGTTGAAAGTCAAATTGGAAGAACTGGGTAGTGGTTAGAATAATCGCATCAAAGGTAGATATTTTCTCACTTAAGTTACTGATTTACCATTTGACCTTGAACAGCAGCCTCACTTTTCTGTGATTCATTTAATCTGTAAAGTGTATGTATCGTATATGGGTTGCCTCAGGCTCTTTCTGTAACTCCCAACACTGGAAGGTCTTAAAACAGTGTTTTAGAGGTCAGTGTAACACCAAAATAACACTGAACTTGAGCAATATTTTCTGATCTGTTTGTATTGTCTACACAGTTCACATCTTTCCTTTTAGATTCTAGTTTTGCAACTGTCCCCCTGTTTTGATTTCGAAGCATGAAAAAAAAAGCCATTCTGCTGTCATACAGCAAATAGGTTTGTTTAAGGACTTCTCATATGGTCTTGATGTATTACATTATCTTCATCATGATTTTTCTTATTGATTCATTTCCTCAAAGAGTCATAAGTAATTGTGTATTTACTGTGTCTTACAAAGATGATATACTTCAGAATTTCTTCTGTTGCATTTAAAATATGGATCTTATTCTGAAACTCGGTGAAATCCTTAAAAATTTTGGTTTCTTTAAACTTGGCCTTAAGCCCTAATGTTCCTGTAGTTTTGGTGTTAAATGTCACAGATCAATACATCGCTTAGCTTTGATGCCTTCCTAAATACAGAGTAGTAAATCATCTAAACTTTAAGTATTGCAGAAAAGTAGTAATACCACTTGAGATCCCATTGAGTGATGTTTAAATGAGCCAAGGAACGATTTCTGTTGAAGTAATTCTGGAGCCCAACAAAAATATCTGTTTCTAGTTCACAGAATCACAGAATGGCCAGGGTTGGAAGGGACCTCAAGGATCACGAATCTCCAACCCCCCCCCTGCCACATGCAGGGCCATCAACCTCCCCATTTCATAGCAGCCCAGGCTGCCCAGGGCCCCATCCAACCTGGCTTTGAACACCTCCAGGGATGGACGGGGCATCACAGCCTCTCTGGGCAGCTGTTCCCGCACCTCACCTCTCTCATAGCAAAGAACTTCCCCCTGGCATCCAACCTCAATCTTCCCTCCCTCAACTTCAAACCATTTCCCCTTGTCCTGCTGTTATCTACCCTTTCCAAGAGCTGACTCCCCCCCTGTTTGTAGGCTCCCTTTAGGTACTGAAGGCTGCAATGAGGTCACCCTGCAGCCTTCTTTTCTCCAGGCTGAATAAGCCCAGCTCCCTCAGCCTGCCTTCGTACTGTAAAAGTTCTACATTTCCATTGGTTATATTTCATAATGTTTCTGTGTTAACTGTCATTCATTTTTTGCAAAATCTTGAAGTGTTCCAAATGTAATGCTTAATAATAATTTTTTTTTAACTTCAGCACTGTTTCCAGTATTGAGCATGCTGGTATATGTGGTCATGACATGTTAAAGATGTGTGCTTTTTTTTTGTTTTTTTTTGATTAGGAGATGAATATACAACTTGAGAAAATGAAGGAAAAGGAAGAATTTGAGAGACGGAAAAGGACAGCTGAAAAGAAGCTCAGAGAATGGATGGAAAAAAAAAGAGAAGAGGTAAATTATATGTCATCTGCCAGTATGCTGGCACATGTTGTGCTTAAGTAAACCTGAGTGCCGTTTATTTAGACTGTTTGGACAGCCATGTTTTTAGTTTGCTGAAAGAAAGTCTGTTTCAACTGAAAATTACAAAAACATGCTCACACAGTTAACCAATTTTTCAAGACTGATTTTTTTTTTGTAATCTTTTTTTCCCAAAGACATTTGTTTTCTGAATAGTCAGGTAACTGATAGCTGTCTCACATCTTGTGCAGCAGCCTGCTAATTACAGCTGGGGTTCTGATCTTTGGTGTACCCTAAGCTTTCTGGCTTCCTAGGTTCAACGCCTTAGCATATTGATTATAGTCTCCAACTTAACTGCAGTGCCTTGTACACCAAACAGAGCCAGGAAAAGGATTCAGTTAAATACCATTGTGGGACAGGAAAATAGTATGGTGGAGTTGAGAGAGATAATTGAGGTGTGAGGCCAGATTCAGGATATTATGGGTAGCCCACAGCTTGCAACTGGGAATTTCTTCATTTAAAAAGTCATTTCACAATGGGATCAGGCAATCCTTTTCAGCTCTCTGGAGAGGATGCCAAAATCCCATGTCAGAAGCAGCCAGAATGCTGATCTCAAGAGGACACTGTACAGCTCTCTGTAATACAAACACTGTGTGTCCTGAGTGGTAAAAATAGAAAAGTTGGGGAGATTTGGTTTTGTTTAGCCCCTGGTAATTCATGGGCATATTTGCTCACTGTCTTATGGTCTGTAGCAATTCCAATTTCTTACTGTTCCGTACTGCTGGTTCTCAGTAAAATCAGAGGAAAGTTTCCCAACAGCAGTGCTTTGGCTAGGTATCAAGGCCTAATTTAGTCTAGGACCCCTGGAAAAACTGGTGTTTGAACCTAGCTCCCTAATTTCTCCTAGCTTCATTGCTGACTGGATGATCAGCATAACCTTGAACCACAGCAATCCTGATTTAAGCATTTGCTGTGATGAGGAAGGGGACCTTCCTTACTGAAGTATTCAGCAAAAAGCATAGGATTGATCATTCAGCACAGTGACATTTTCCCCTTCTAAAACAGAAATTAACAGCTTCCTGCAACTATTCATTGGCTTGAACGAGTGTGATTACATGTTACAATGGTTCACTTCACAGCTCAAAACTGAATATTCTCTTTGGGTGTCCGTCTATCTCAGTCAGCTTCTGTACATCTCTACCTCTTTATGCACTCCCTGTAACTTTGTGGGTTTACTGGTTAACTTCTTCCTTTCTGTTGGCAGTGGGATGAGCAGGTCTTTTTGATGGCAGCATCAGCTCAGAGAACAGCAGGGGGGAAGAAAGTATTTGTGTTTGGACTTGTACGTGTTATGTTTTGGAAGCTTATGGTCATTCTTAGGCCACGTCCCAAGCACTTACCAATAGTAATCTGTTTTTCATTTCAATCAGATGATTCATTGGCTTGTCTTTTCTGTAAACCACTCTCAAAGCAAGAAAAAACTGATTTTCAAGGCTTAGCTCTCTCTAGAGTTTTAACATTTCTGCAGCATATTCTTCTGCAGTGCAAGTCTTCGCAAGATTGCCTGTGGATAACACTTACTGAATGATAAGTATGTCAATTCAGTGGCTAAATCTGTGTTTGTGACAGATTTCATGTGAAGTTTGAGGTTGGATTCATGAATACTTGCTATGATTTTTCTCAGAAAATATAATTGCATGTGCAAAAGGTCTCTATTTCCTCCTGTTAGCTTGAGAAGGTGCTCCTTGAGGACAAAACTCAGTTTTCTTCACTAAAATAACTATTAAGCACTCACCCTGTTTGTATCCTGTTGGTGATTCTCACCTCTTTGTAGAGAATACAGAAAGTGCTTCACAAGAGATGATCCTCTCAGGGATGTTACCTTTGTGATCTCTGCAAATCTGAATCCTTCCCCTTTGCTGAGTACTGTACTGATGAAGGCAGTGAGGGATGCTTGAGTGTAAGTGAAACTTTTCCCTTCATCTTGAGCACAAAGTCTTTCAGCAGCTCCAGGACGCTGCTGGAAAAATCTTTATAAGGCAGATCCATGCCAGAATATTTGTGTGGGCCTGGAAGAATTCTGCTCTTTTTCTATGTATCAAGCCAGTAGCACTTGGTTACGTGGCAGTGTCAGTTGTAGGGCTCTGACTGTTCCATAGAGTCCATTAGCTTCAAGTTAGGAAGAAGTACTTGAGGACAGTATTTATTTAATGTCATCACATGTGATGTGAGATTTGCATGCTTCCAGTCGCTTTGCATACCTAGTTTTTGCAAATCAAGGTATGGTCACCATTTAATAAACTTCGGTGCGTGTAAGTTTTTGTGATTTCAAAGGTTGAGAGTGAACTGTCAGAGAACGTTCTAAGCTGTGAAACGTGTATGGAAGTACAAAGGAATTTTGCAGCTCACGAGGAAGGAGAAACTTAGTAAAAATCAGCTGTCAGGTGCTATTGTGGTTCTAATAATGCCTTCAAAATTTACAAATCATTAAGATACTAGACCTCTGCTGGGCAAAAATAATTTTACTTTCTCTGTCTCTGAAGGTTGAGTCACTTGTGGGCAGACAGTAAATTGTCTGGTTTGTTCTGTTTTAGATGTAATAGAGCTCTGTGTTACAAGTCACAGCAATATTGGTCAAAATATTTTAACTCTGAAGGTATCTCCAGGCATGGATTTAGATTCCACAAGAAAATTTGAAACCAACACTCAAATCTTTTTCTTCATTACTGTTAGGTTTACGGATAAAAAATGAGCTGTGTATGATTACAAGTGCTGGAAAAGCAAAGCTGTCCAACGTCACGTTTTCATTGTTAAAGTAGCCTTATTTTGAAATGGATTTGACTGGTGCACAGAACTGCACTTTGAGCAAAGCCATTAGAATGTATCTTAATGTTTCTGATACGTTCAAATGATTGCTTGATTGCTAATTGCTGTCGTTAGACTCCTGTTCAGTAACGAGCTCTTTGCAGACAACTTACAGCTGAACTGTGAAGTTTAAAAATAAAGGAATTGACATCCTCCAATCCCCCGGTCATCATACGTCTAAAGTTTGAATAGACATTGAAAACTAACTGCTGGCTCATTCCTTTAGGTTAGAATCAGTGGCTGTGAAAGCTTGTTTTCTTCATGTCTGTTCATTCTCATGCTTTTTTTTTTTTTTTTTTGACTTCACTCTTGGAATCTTCTCTCTCGTGGTTGAGGAGCAGTACACAGAACTCATTGGTTTATAAAACCTTTGTCCTTCCAGGCTCCCTTTCTTCTTTACTCTACATCCTCTTCCAGATATTTCTGAAAAGAACTGAGGGTGGTTTTGATTATGGACTTCTATACAGTCTCACACTAAATGTTCTTCATGTAAACAGGGTCCCAGCCTCTCCTGTTATAATTCTAAGCATAATCTGGGTTTAAGGTTTCAAGACTGCTGTGCTTACAAGTCCATATATGAAGAACCCCAGTTACACAGACCAACTCCTGTTGTTCTGCCCTATTTGTTGAATAGGAAGCTTGTAGTTAACAGTAGCAAAGTTTCTTCTTTACCTAACTGTTGATCCACAGATGTGAATCTCTTTGGTTCCTATCAACAGCTGTGGGATTGAATGCTTAAATTAGGTACATTTAAGTAGTGATATAGTGATTAATTGCTATCAAATCAGAGTACCAGCTGCTTTGAGAAATGCATCGTGGATGCACGGACTGTGAAACGTCTGTAAAAATAACGTGACCATTTAATTCCTTAGAGTGTTATGTTATAAATTCCTTATAGAAACCTCTTGTGAATTCATGCAGGATAAAGTAGTTAGATTAAAGGTAAGGACTGACAACAGCAGTTTTTGATTAAACACTTAAGTTGACACGGATGCAGTTCTTTTCACTGTCTACACTCTGTTTAATGTGTTTTCCAATTCTGTGAAATCCACCTTTATTAGCTGCTGAACTACTTCATTTTTTATAATGTTGGTAGAATATAAACTTAGAAATATCAAGATAAATCAGTTTGTGTACATACTTAGGTGTATGTATAGGAACTTCCATTATATACTGTTGGCTAGCCCTGGTAGGCAGCCAAGCACCACACAGCTGTTCTCTCACTTTCCTCTGTATCTTCCAGTGCAACAGCAAGATGGGGAAGAGAGCTGGAAGAGTATAGCAAGAAAGCTCAGGAGTTGAGATAAAAAGTGTTTAATAGGTGTGAAGCAAAAGCTTCATGTGCAAGCAAAGCGAAATGAGGAATTAATTTACTGCTTTCTAAGTGCAGGCAGACATCTAGCCATTGCCAGGAAAGCAGGGCTTCGTTGTGCCTAAAGGTTATTTAGAAAACAAACGCTGTAATTCCAAATGTCTCCCTCCCTCTCCTGCTCCTTCCTCCTAGCTTTCACTGCTGAGCATGACATCATGTAATATGGAATATCACTTTGGTCAGGTTGGGTCAACTGTCCTGGCTGCATCTCCTCCCAGCTTTGTGAGAACCCCCAGCCTTCTTGCTGGTTGGACAGCATGAGAAACAGAAAGCCTTGAGACTGTTCAGTCCTATAGAAAATGCTGGTGTGTTACCAACATCGTTTTGGTCACAAATCCAAGACAGAACCATATAAGCCACTATGAAGAAAATTTAATGCCAGCCCAAACCTGTATGTGTATGTAATACACATTTGTAAGAGTAACTGGAATCTCAAAAGCAGAATGTTTGCATCCAAACAGCTGTAATTCTCTAACTCATCTTGTTAATATCCTTTAACTTGCATGTAATACATTGTTATATGAATGTGGTATCCAGCAAAGCTGAGAGAGTAAGGAGTAAAATTACACACCTTGCACTGAAATAAAAAAAAATCTGCTCCCAACATTAATTTGACTAACATCTCAAATGTGTTGTTGTTGATAAGAGAACAAGACATTGCAAAAAAGATGTTACTCTTAGAATTTTTATGGCCAGATTTTTTATTCCTCTTTGATTTCTTTCAGCAAGACTTCCTTGCTGAAAATCACCACCATCATGTGAAAAATTACAGGATGGGAGAATTTGCTGTTGCTGGTTTTTCATTGAAAAAAACATCTTTTTATCATTTATTTTGCTTTTGGCTGACGGTCCTTTTAAGGAAGAAGCAATAGGAAATATGGAAGTTGGAACCATCACGCAATGAAATAATGAATGGCAATATTCTTGGACACAACTTCTCTTTCTTGATATGCTGTATGATTCCTTACAGAAGAGAGACTCGCATCACAACCCTTTTTCCAAAGACTGCTGAATGCATGTTACCTCTCACCATTGTTAATACAGCATACGGACTGTTCAGCAGTTCCAGCATGACTTTCAAGCTAGAAAGTCGTGCTCATGCTGCCTTTCTTCCAGTTAATGAATATTTCATTATATTTATGAGGGAGTGATATTTCTAAGCATCTAAACCCAGAATGTGGAATACATTACAAAATAGTTTTTTTTTTTAATACAGTGTTTGATGTCTCTTCACATTGCATTTATGTTTGAGGTTGTGCAAGGCCAATCTATATAACTTTAGATTGTACCCGAATCTTATTTGTGTAAGGCTTACTTTTAGATTTCTGTAGTAGAATGAACCAATTTCTCACATTTAGTGTCAAAATTAATTGTGGGTAGTCTTGCAGAGCTTGAATTCAGAGTGACAGATGATTAAAATGAGAGTGATTGTGTTTTGTGGCAGCTTTCATGGAGTCTGCGTTCTTCTGAAGACCTTGAGAATATTCATGGACCACGTACACTAAGACTTTCTGCTTGCCACTTGTTTAAATACCCACATGGTAATTCTTTACAGAAACACAGTTCAGGAGAACGATGCTCTGTCTTAGAACTCTCTGACTTCTAGACTGTAGTCAAGTCCACATTGACTGTGTGAACATTGTTGTAAACCTGCCTGTTGGTAGTGCTGTATCACTGACTTCCTTTCTCTCCTCTTGTGTTTTTTTGCTTGCCAGTTCTGGAGAGGTTATAGACGTATTTATGTGAGCCAGGGTTGGTGACTGAGCTGTGTAATAGGATTAAATTGAAAAGATAATAACAATTGGCTGAAAGACCCCTGTTTCTGAAGTTGTTAAATGCAACTGACATTCCAGATTGCTGTGAAGATATGCAAGGAAATTTGCAGATATGTTCTGATGCTGACAGTGTGGTCTTTTCCTATATTCCATCAATCGTTCAGTATCAAATGATGCTGGCATACAGAAACAAAGATGTCAGAACTGTGCAATAGGGTCATCGGGCACGTCTGAAAGGAAAAACATGTCATATTTGTGGAGTAGAAAACAGGAAAACAGTTGCTGTGAGAAGGATCTAAAAAAATTGAAACAGCATAAATTTCTGGAAATCTTTCTGTTTACAAAATCATGACATGGGTTTGGGTTGGAAGGGACCTTTAAGGATTGCCCCCCCTGCCATGAGACTGTATACAGAAAATGCAGAATATAAAGCAGCTCTGCAGTTGATCCTTTTTTGCAGCCTCTCGGTCAATTATTAATATGAAAATTCAGGAGTGTATGTTTTATTAATTTTCTTCCAGCTGGAATGTTGTCTCTGTTTCAGTGTAATTGGGTTCATTTTCTGCCTTAGAAATTCTTTTTGGCAGAAGGCAGTAAGTAAGGCTAAGTGAAGTGTGATGCCTCATGACATTTAAAATTTCTTTGACAAGTCTCAACACATACATAGGTCTGATTTTTTATTTTTTATTTTTTTTTCTTGAAAGCTTAGTAGTTCTGCTGATGAGACACTGGTTTGATAGTGACTCAGTAAGGCACACACTGCCCACTGAGTCACCAGGGCTGCTTTGTGCCATGGCTGGGTTTGTTCTGGGTGCGGGGTTTCCAAGTACTGACCCAGCCCAGTCTTTATTAGGTTCCGAGACCTGATAGGATCGCAGCCCATAGCAGTGAACCTTCAGGCCAGATTTGTATCCTTTCTGCTTAATAATGTGATTGGGTGGAGTGGCAGGAGAACAGGCTATTCCTGCAATAAGTAATGGGATGTTTTACAATCAATACCTTAACTTATGTAACGTGTGTAATCATATTCTAGAGTATATGTCAACTGGCTGGTGGTTTAGTGAATAATAGGTATGTCTGTTTGGAACACAAGATCAAAGAGAATTTTTTTCTTATATCAACGCCACACATAAGCAAATTATATAATTTCCCTTCCCCTGACATATGTGGAAGCAGTGTGAAGGACGGATTGAAGGACATCGTGTGCATTAACATGCACATTCCTAGCCTTTTCGATAGACTTGGATAAGAACAAGAAGTGAGAATGGGGGGAAGCTGGGAAGGCTGGAGTTGACAGGAGCTTGACGCAGACCAGATTATTAAAGCAGCTGGGAATGTGATGTAAACCACCTTTCTGAAGGAGTTGTTTTGTGCTAGAGAGAAAAAGGAAGCGCTTCTGATTTATTTGCAGAATAATTTCTGGGCAGCTGTGGAGTCTGCAATTCTGTAGGGCCCCTCCCAGTCCTTGCAATTCCTTATTGGAAGTAAAACTTCAGCAATAGCTTTGGCTTTCATGGTCGTATGCATGGCATGTTGTTGTTCACATAGGGACTTACTTAACTTTGGGGCAGCACAAATAGTAGCTAATACAGTCCCCCACAAAATCCTTCTTTCCAAATTGAAAATATATGGATTTTGTGGGCGGGCTGTTCAGTGAATGAGGAACTGGTTGGAAAATTATACCCAGAGAGCAGTGGTCCGTGACTCAACATCTGGATGGGTATCATTGACAAATGGTGTCCCTTAGGGGTCAGAACTGGGACTGATGCTCTTTAACATATTTCTCAATGAACGTCCATTGGTATCATGTGCACCCTCAGCAAATTTGTGGATGACACCAAGCTGTGTGTTGTGGTCTACGCTCTTGAGGAATGGGATGCCATCCATTCCTCATCCAGAGAGACCTAGACAGGCAGAGCAGTGGGCCCAGGTGTAGCTCATGACGTACAGCAAAGCCTAGTATTGGGTCTTGCATCTGGGTCATGGCAACCCCACTATCAGTACAAGCTGAGGCATGGAAGGATAGAGCACAGCCCTACCAAAAAAGACCTGGGGGTACTGGTGGATGGGAAGCTGGTCTCAAGGCAGCAGTATGACCTCAAAGCCCAGAAAGCCAACCGTATCCTAGGCTGCATCAAAAACAGGGTGAGGGAGCCAGTCCTGCCCATCACTTTGCCTGGTGTCATTGCAGTTCTGTGACAGGGGGCACAGGCCCAAAGAGAAACAGCAACCACCAAAGTGTTAACCATTTATGGCAGGGCAAGGCACTGCTGGGCTGGAGCCTCAGGAGAGAAAGGGGGGGGGAGGGGGGCAAGGAAGGGTAAGGAGATAGTAGGGCTGGTGCTGTTCAGCCTGGAGAAGAGAAGGCTCTGGACAGTCATGAGAGAGGATTTTCAGTATCTAAAGTGGGGCTGTGAGAAAGGAGGAGCTGGACTCTTTAGCAAGGTCTGTTGTGATAGGATAAGGGGAAATAGTTTCAGACTAAATGAGGGGAGAAGTAAATTTGATATAAGAAAAAGGTTTTTACAGTAAGGGTAAGGAGGCACTGGAACAGGTTGCTTGGAGAGGTGAAGGATGCCCCATCGTTGTGGGCATTCAGGGTCAGTCTGGAGGGGGCTCTGAGCACCTGATGGAGCTATAGGTCCCCTTGTTTATTGCAGGGGAGTTGGACTGGATGACCTTTAAAGGCCTCTTCCAACTCAAAACGATTGTATGATTCTGGCTAAGCTCATTTAAAGTATTGTAATTAAGAATTCATTATCTAAGAAGCTTCCCTACCCTCCTAAAAGCTTTTTTATTCGGCAGTTCTTTTCTATGAATGCAAAATTTTTGATCTCAAATCTTCTGTTTCTCCTCCATGTCACATGTATAGTTTGTCTAGTATAGATTTTTGTGTGCGTATGCAGATTCTCCAGAGCTAAGTGAGCTAAGATGTGGTAGTACTGAACCAGTAGAATCCCAGGCATTTCTGAAAGGCTACAGGGTAGAGCGGTGAGGGGTACTGTTAGTCTTCATGTGACTATGCTTCCTTCAGTATGTGCTCGTTAGCTTAGAGAATGGCTCTCAAAATGCTGTGTGCCATTATATTCACATACTTGGGAAAGACACAGAAGTGATAAACCTGTGTGTATCTTATCTGACAGAGCTCATGTGCGTGGCAGTGACTCAGAAGGGTGCAGACTGACTTCCATTTAGAACCATGGTTTGCTCTAGTTTAATTGAAAAGCAGACTTCTTAATCTACAACATGCTCATCAAGAATTGCAGCATAGATATCTTTTCCAGAAATACTGAAAAGCATTGGAAGTCTTTTAAAAAAGATGTCTAAATAGATAATCATCAGAGTAAGCATAATAGTACAGAGAGTCTGAAAGGAAATTTTTATCATGTCTTGTGTCTAGCGATGAGTGGGTTTCGTTTTCAGGGTTGTGATAATTTTATTTGTAATTATGTAATAGAAGCATTCCTCGAAATAACTGCCCATCGAAATATATTGCATTATTAACATTCTTCCTCTTTGATCTTTTTCGTCTAGGAAAAGAGGGAAAGAGAACGAAAATTGAGCAAAGAAATGGCAGAGAAAGCCACAAAGGAACTAGAAAAAATGCAGTTACAAGAAAAGGCTGAAGTGAAGTATAATGAATGGTTAAAGAAGAAGAGAGCTGAAGAGTCAGAAAAGAGGAAGAAAGAGAAGGTATTCGTCAGTTAATTATGTATTTGAATGGCTTTACCTAACATATTAAGTGTAGTGCTTGATTAAATTAATTGGAATTTATCAGATGGAGTGATGTATGTTAAGAATAGTTTCAAAAGTTATACTGTTGATGTGTTGAAGTGTGGTCAGCAAAGGAAGATGCACATTAAATGCATATTTGTTACTAGTTCTATTGCAAAGCCAAGCAAACCCTCTGCAATGGTGATGTGAGAAGAGAAACAGAAATAGGAACCACAAACTGTATCTCTATTTCTCAACCCCAGCAGAAAATAGGCATCCTTCTAGTCATTTTTCTCTCAGTACCACTACTATCTTGATTGTTAAACGTGTTTCAAATTAGAAGTATTTTTTCTCTCTATTTCTCTATACCAGTCTGATGCTGGGAGTCGTAATTTTAATGTTAACTCAGATTGAATAATTAACCTGCCATTTATTTTTATAGTGTGCTCTAGAAGACCCCTTACATGTTGTAAGCTTCCTAAAACACAGACATTGGGGTCCTAGGGCAAATTACATATAGATGTTACATACTGGTAATTCTTGTGCCTGAAAATGAGTGGGCAACTACAGTTATTATGCTTAAAGTTGATTGATTGTAATTAAATTTAATTAATGGTACAGTTTTATTTTTCTATTGAATTTGTATGACGCTACTGTTAAGTGTGAGGGGGATTGTGGTTAGAAGAATTTGTCCATGTTCCTGCTGTAATTGTAGCTGTCGTTCTTAATGTGCAAAAAAGATTCGTATTTCTTAAGTGTATATACTAATTCCTTTGGATTATCTTTAAAAATACTCTAAGTTGTTTCAGACCAATTTAGAGGCCTCAAGGACTTAATTTTGTAGACTTTCCTAATTTCTCATACAACTGGAACACACTTAACTGTTCTATACTGGTTGTGTTCATGTCCTGTTTAAACCAATTCTGTGTCTCTGTTGGGTGTCTAAAAAGCACAACACAAGGAACTTGAAACCAAAGTAAACTGGAGTCTTAAGAGAGATTTAAACCAATATTCATTCCCTTTACTCCTCTCTTTGTTAATGTAAGTTCGTGTAAGTCATGCTCACAGTAATTAAACTTGATTTAAATCCAATTGCAGTGCCTGTAAAAACATACCGACATGCTTTGTAGGCATCTTACGTTATTCTGTTTTCAGGAAAAAGAAAAAGAAAGGCAGGCTGAGCTGCAAAAGAAGAAAGAGAGAGCAGAGAAGATCTTTAATGAATGGCTACGTAATGCTAGAAATAAACCACGCCCTGTATTAAATGGTTATGGCTTTCCACATGGGAAGTCTGCAGGTTTGTACTCTTACCGTGCATATGCAATGACTTTAGGAGGAAAAGAATGCTACTTGAGAATAATGTGGTATACCAAATTATAATTGATTTTGATCTCGTTAAGTTCCTTATCAGGCTAATTACTGGTTCCTGTGAAGCATATCAGCTGTGATGACGTTGTTGTAAAATTAGTATTTGTGTGTCAGGAAACGTGTGCCCTCTTGTTGCACCAGAATCCGTGTTAGAAAAGGGGCAGTTTTTGAGATGCAGAGATTAATAAAGGTCTGGCAGAAGTTCTGCTTGAAAAGGGTTACGTGGGACTTAACTTCGATGCTGAGTGACAGTTTCCATTTAGCTTTGCAATTGCTTCACACCTCCTCACATCTGCTGTCATATTCTTTTTTCACTCTGAGGGGAAGTGTGAAAGAGAATGCTGATGATGGTGTGGAGATTTGAGAGTCTTAGTTATTATGTTTTGTTTGTAATTCTACGTGATACAAAAGCTGAAGAGCAGTAAGAAGTAGTATTTTGTATTACATTTCAGTTGATTAGATGTCCTTTAAAAAAAAACAAAATAGGCTTTACTTTCATCTTTATTTTTTCATAGAATCAAATCATTATTATTATTTGTGTTTGTGACAGAAAGTATTATAGGACCTAGATCCTAGATTTTGAATGCTTAAGAAAATCCATGTAGCAGATGAGCAACCAGTTGCTCTTTTGCTTACATCTGCTTGTAGATGGTGATACGCTTTGCTTTCATGTTTTGCATTTGTAGCTCATTACTTCCTGACAGCTGCAAACACTTAAGTATTTCATTTTTTTTTAAGAAGTATTTCTGTGCTCAGTAGTGTTCATGCAATAGAATGTGTCATAGACTTTGTTTTACTCAACCTCGTGATGTGTGCACTGGAATTTCACTACAGACAAGTGACTGACAGAACAACGTGTTCCTTCTGCAGTGTTTTAGGCTTTCTTACACTGGTCTAAGTCCCCGAGGCTAATAATTAACAAACAATTAAATTGTGGGAAACTTACATGTTTTTCTCCTCGGTAAAATGAAGAGTTGTAGTTAAGCAAAGATGGAAAAAATATGTATATTTTATATATGTGGTGACAGGAAGTAATATTTATAAATGCTTTGAAGTGATGTGATGTAGCCAGTTCACACACACATGCATCTTTTAAGCATACAAAAGACTGAGCATTTTGAATGTTGCATAGAATTCAACCTGCTTTTTTTTTTTTAATACAGATGAGGAATACACCAGTCATTGGTAATAGGGGGTGGAAGATTTATCACTTTGAATCATTTGAATTGTCACATGCATTTACTGTATTCCTCTGAAGACATTAGAACTGTATGCATTATAAAGCCCATTGAGTACATATTAATTTTAAGTTACTTAAAACTTACTTAAGTTACTTAATAACTTTAAGTTATTTATTTTCTAAACATTTTAGGGCGTCCTGATGGGAATTCATATCCAGCTCCAGCATATTGCAACCCCATTCCTTGGAAACCAGTACACATTCCTCCTCCAAAGGAAGAAAGTGCTCTTACCATGAAGAACAGTAAGAGATCTGTATCTTGTCGGTCACATAAGTTTTCACCTACAGTAATATATAAACCCAAGAACAACCTTTGTGTACAATCCTCTCATAGAAAGTAGTTACAGCACAGAAAGCAAAGTCTTTCTTATGAGCTTGAGAGAGCTGGAACATAAGTGTAAAGTTATACGTACAAACTTGTCTCCTTTTTTTGTTGTTGTTGTGACCAGGTTTTGTATTTGAAGGTGACTGACTGATCACATTGTTAAGGGCTTTTGTGTATTGATTTCAATGTGTTTTTCTTTTTTTAAAGTGACATTTAGCAATTTTAATGGAACTGTACTTCAATATCAATAAAGCATACGGGATTGTTGCTGTCCTCATTTTTTTTGTCATCGAAAGGCTTATTTTGTGCAGTTGATTTTGATTTTGGGCAACAGTATAACTGCGTTATTTTAGCAATTCTAATTATAACAAACTTTGAAACAGTTACTGGCTTTATTACAAGAAACTTGAGGCCTCTGTGCAGCTACAGAACAGTGATGACATTGGGACCACAGAAATATATTCCGAAAGCTTACATTGCTGGAGCACTGCAATGGATTCACTTTTAGGACAGAAAGGATGGGCCAACAAGGAGAGAGCTGCAGCAACAACTCATGAAGCTTTGCCTAAGGACTGATGATTAGCCAGATGAGACCTTATGAGTTAGGATTAAAGGGAGACCAAGGTGTGTGGATCCTGCTGTGGACATCTGCTACAGACTTTGGCCACCATGAAATCTGCTGGAAGGGCAATACAGCAGAGAAAAAGCGACTAAGGGAGCTTCTGGAGGGTATTGATGACTTCCTTGCCCAGTTGACATAGAGAAGCTCGTTTACAGGAGTCTAGGTTGAAAGAAATCTCCCAAGATCATCTGACCGAGCCCCCTCTTGAAAGAGAGCCTTGAAATGCATTATCAGATGTCCTGTCAATCTCAATCTTGTAAATTTTCAGTGAGTAAGACTCCACCACTTCTCTGGGCAACTTTTTCCTGATGTTTAGTTGTTCTCTTGGTGATTTCTTTTTCTTACATGCAGATGCAAGTTACTCTGGAGCAACCTGTGTCCATTCTCTCTCCTTGTTACCATGTGGTGAAGAGATTATCTTCTCTGTGGCTATCTTTTAGATGTTGGAATATAGATTAAATCTCCACTGAGCCTTCTCTTTGCGAGGCTGAGTGAGCACTGTTTCTTCAAATATTCTTCATATGCCACCTTCCAAGTCTCTAACTATGATACATGAAACAATTGGGAAGTAAAAAGTGCAGGAGTTATATAGACTTGATCATCAAACAAAGAGTGTGAAATCTGATGAAGTCACAGTCTTTGTTGTTTTGATCCTCATCTTTGGAGGAGAAAAAAAGAAAAAGCCCTAACCTGCTGTACCTAATAACATTCTTATCCTTTTATAAGATCTAACTGCTTTTTTTATATAGTCTTGCCTAGTTTTACTTTGACTTTTAAGCGCTCCATAATTGGACAGTTGGCACTACAAATGATGGCTGCAATCCAGTCTGAGCATTGTGGGATTTTCTTAAATTTCACTGTCTTCCTGGAAAAGGATTATTGTTTGTGATTTGCTGTTTCAACTGAATGCATAGAAGTTCAAGGGACCCGATGGGTCAAATTAGACAAATTAGAAAGCTGGGAAATCATCAACTGCATGAAGGGTCCAATTCTTCAGCTGAGAAGGGACAGCCTTGGTTATACATACAGACTTATGAGGAGTGCCTGAAGTCCCTTAGTTTGTTCAGCTCAGAGAAGAGGAGGTTGAAGGGAGACATCATAGCCTACAGCTTCTTCGGGAGAGGCCGGATCTGATCTCCCCTCTCTGATGACCTACAATAGAACCCAAGGGACTGGCGTGGATTAGGTTGGACATCAGGAAAAGGTTCTTCACTGAGAGAGTGATAAGGGTGCTGGAACAGCCTCTTTGGAGAAGTGGGTGTAGCATTGAGCTTGGCAGAATTCATGAAGCAGCTGGGCAGCACACTTAGACATACAGTCTCATTTTTGGGGGGTCATGTTTGGAGGCAGGAGTTGGACTCAACGATCCTTACGGATCCCTTCTCACTTGGGATATTCTGTTATTCTATGAACGTACTTAAGAGCACATGGATCATGACGTACCAATTTTGATAACTGAATAGACAATGAGAACCTTTGTATTTCTTAGAAATGTTTCTCACTGGATCTCTGAGCTTGGTGTCTGCCTAAAGTTATCTGTGTAACTGAGAATAATAACCTTCTGTTAGCACATAGTGTAAGGACGTGATGCTCTTCTGAGAAATGGCAAGCTTCAAGCAGTCAGAGTTGTAGATTAGAGTGCAATTATCCTTGCGTAGAGAAAGCTTCTATTGTGAAGGAGATGGAGGCTCTCAGCCAGCAGCCCTGTATGTTTAGTTCTCAGTGACATAGTACAAAAATGGGAATCAGGTAAGCCTGATTCACCACTGGTAAAAACTCAGACTTTGTTCAATAGACCGGTATCTAAGAGCTTTAACTGCTTCTGTGTAGGCTTGTATTTTAACACCATGCCATGTGTTAATGAATATATAGATTGGTTCAGCATGTACTGTGGGTGCATGGGCTGATCTAACGCGATTCACTTCGACTGTCTCTTAAGATATTTAGTCCGTGGTGGGTCTGTTCATTTTTTCCTGTCACAATGTCTGAATAAAGTGTAAAATATTCATGAATATATAATATACAGTATAGGTGATCGTTATATTAGTTGTTGAATGTCTGCTAAGAGTTCATGAGTTTCTGCAGTCTAGTATTTGTCATAGGGCAAACAGTTAAAAATACATGTATAAATAGAAATTAGTCCTTTTATGCTGTATTTATTTACCAAGTTATTTTCCTATTTTTTCTAGTCTCTAAGTGAAACAAAGACTCCTCATGCAGCTATCAAGAAAGGCAGCAAGATCTCAGAAGGTCACTTCCATTACTTACTACAGCGTTCCCTTAATCTTGTTTGTAGGTTACTGTCATATTCTTAAGTATGTAAAACTGCAGGTTGCTTTTTCTAAGGCAAAAAATTAAGCTTAATTGTTCATGCACTCCTGTGTATCTATTTAACTTGACTATAAAAAGAGAAATTTGGACACCACAAAATATGTGGAGTGTCATAATTCTGTAAATTAGGAGTATAGGGGCTTTGCAGAAATCTCTGTAATATCATCAGGATGTAGAACTCTGTCTAGCTTTCTCTATAAGCATCTATGCTGAATGGGTTATGAAACCAGTGGATGAGTGTATTAGTTGTCAGTCTTTTGAGCTGACCTTCCCATGTGGAGTTTTGTGAATAAGAAGTTGGGCAATATTGTAAGCTACCTGATGTTTATCAGTGCTCAGATGAAGAGATAGCATTTTACCATGACGTAAGTAATGAATTTTAGATTAATTGATGAAGATTTCTTAGGACACTGATTTGGAGAAGCTCTGCATTGTCATGCTAATATCTTCTGTGGCAGTCTTTCTGAAATAGCAGATGGCCACCAGTACCAGTGAAATAATGCTGTAACAACTAACGATAGCATCTATTTGATGTAAAGTGGCCTATCGTGAATATAGGCGTTGGTAGTATTTGTAACAGGTTTTGTTAACAGATTTTGACAGCATCTCTGACTATTCTGCTGTAACACATAGTTGACAAGCATTCTTTTGGCTTGTATAGTAACAGATAGCTACTTAAAAGAGCTTTCTACACTGAATTAAAGAGAGTGGACTTTCAGGATTTCATGTCCTCACCCAAGTAGAAGAATCTTAAACACATATTTGGTTCAGGAATATGGATATATTAGTAATAACTGACGCCTGGTAGTTTTCTTTCAGATGACTCGGCCAAAATAATTCAGCTGAATACTTACTGGAATTCTAGTTTAGAGATTTTAGAAAATACTAAGAAATATCTAAAGCTGTTGTTCTTTTTCTTTCTCATCCTTAGGTGGTATTATTTTTTCTCCGCCAATTTTCCTCTGGAAAGGTTTGTCCTGCCTCCAAATAAAACATGCTGTTTCATTCAGGAGAGAGATCTGTAAGTGGACTTGTAACGCCCAAAATACCAACTTTAAAATGAGACCCTTGCTGTACCTCATCCATAGCATCATAAATACTATTCTGTCCTAATTAGATTACAAATAAGGCTAAGGCAAGATAGCTCATGAATGTACATACTGGCTTTGATTCAGTCAACATAACGTTTTTGCTGAGCAAGGAAGAGAAGTATTGTTTGGATTTTTTCCAGCAGTTTATCAACCACAAAGCCAAATGTCCTGGCCTTGTACCCTGATTTAAGACCGTATCAGACTATTACAGAAGGCTGTAAGTTCGTGCTGTTGTGGCAGGTAATTAGTTTATCCCTTTCTCAGGCATTAGAGAGATAAGATCTTAACACTTTGAAGCTTTAAGCAGCATTCTGTATTCTCTTAAATTCTCTCCCAGATTTCTCAACTTGTGAAATTTCACAGTAAAAGTTGCAGGATCTATAATTGCTCATTAGAAACAACCCCAGATCTTTTATGTTGGTGTGCATGCCACTGAAATAATAGGAGTCTCGAGCTTACCTTATTTTCATTCACTCGTTTTTTGTGGATCTTTTGTTTCTAAGACTTCATTGACCACTTCCAAATCTGTGTGTCCTAGGATGCACAATCGTTTCTCACCTCAGTCTCTTAGTAACAAATAGAATACCACATTCAGCCTTACTGTGGAGGATTGTATCTCCTACAAGACTTGTCTGTTTTTTGAAAATTGCTGTGTAGGTGCTCCATAGAACAGCGTGACTTCCTAGTAATTGACAGTGGATCCCCAGAGATGTTTCAGGGCTGAAAGTCTACAGGCAGTAAAGTGGATCACAGGCAGACAGAGGAAAAAAATATGGTTAGTAAGAGATCACTATTATTGTAGAAAGCATTGTGTTCTTAGAAAATAGTCCCATTAATGTGACATAATAAAAGTTCCAACACGCTGTTGGAATTCTTGTTACTAATTCTGCTGGGTAGCTGGAGTTTCATATTAACCAGATAATGCTTCAAATTCTAATAATGACTTTGCAAGTGTCATGTTTAATTCTAAAATTGATTTCTTAACTTGCTGTTTTGGAATCCAGTTGCAAGAGCAGTCAGTGCTCCTGTTATCTTTTTCACAGGAAGATTTTTGTGAGTAAATATGGAAGTTTCTGTGCTTTGTGGTTGTGGTCAAAAGGTGAGTGTTCCAGACTCTTGTCCCCTGGGCAACACGATGAACTTTGTTTAAACTCAGTAATGAAAAGGAAATCTGAGCACCCCTGATCTAGTAAAGCTTATAAACACTTGATTAACTTGAAAGGTGCTTAAGAG